ATGGGGTCATGGCAAGTCAGTGACATTCAGGATTAGAACACACTGCCTGGATCACCACATTATCCTCCAGCAACCCAGTTCCTAACTTAAACAAACAAAAACCTCACAACAACACATAACTGCCTGGGGACCTTTATTTGGGAAGAGGGGGAAGGGGACATGGGGAATGGCATATGGCACACGAAATAACAATGGGAATAACCTGGTCCTTTCTGATGGAGACTGCACCTCTTTCTGCACCCACATCAGAGGACTGCATGTTCATATGTTCCAAAAAGGAGAAATACCAAGTTAAGGTTAAGCAGATTAAATTACGAGACTTCTTGGAACCTTTGATGTGCTCAGGTATAACGGGCAGGGGGCATAATGAAAAGTGTTTCTTAAACAGAGTCAACCATAAAACTAATAAGTCTGTAGGCACTGGGATTCCAAGGGACACACTTGGAGAGGTAATGCTCCAGGGTGAGCCCACAGGGATCCCATGAAGGTTGAAAAGCAAGGCCCACCACACACCTCCTCACCAGCTATCAGTCACTATCTTTAAAACTGCAGTGTTGGGTCAGCTAAAGGGATCATTCTGCATTCAGTTCTCTGTATTTCAGTAGGGGTTTATGGTATTTTTCCACTTGTTGGTCAAAGCCCCTACAAGAGAACTGTGCCTGGAAAAAGTTCACTGGAGTCAGAAGGTATTTTAGTGCCAGGCCCCTGAACTTAGGAGCCAGCAGAGGAGCAGCCTTGCTGCTGTGGGACAGTGGAGAATCCTGGCCCACCCAGGTACTCTGGTTCCCCAAGGCTGCTGAGCCAGCATGGTCTCCCTTGGGTACCAAGTGGGGCCCTACACCCATATCCTCCCCAGTTTCTAGAGAGAGAAATTCCTCATCTGTAGACCGTAAGTGCATTGAAAAACTCAAAGGGGCAGTCAGTACAGTCACCATCTTCTGGGACTCAGAGTTTGGGACTTCCCCAACCCATTCTTTGCTGCTGAGGTCCAGGAATGATGGTTTCTGCTTCTCAAGCTCCCCAGAAAGGTTCTCGTTCCTGGCCTTCTGTGAGTCCCTGTCAGGTTGCGACTGATCAGCAGTTTCCTGAAAGGAGTCAAACACAACACCCTGAGTTCTCGGCCTCTTTAGCCTCCTTTCTAACAACAGCCAGAGAAAGCTTGGTTTTCTTGAAGAGGAATTCATATATTGCTGCACAGAGTTTGGGATCAGGGGTATAGAGAGCCCAGGGCTCAGGCTGTCCTGAAAGTAGTCCCTACAGGGCTGCTGACTGACAATGGGCACCACCTGGCAAGGCTTCAGTGCTGCGACAAAGGTCTGAAGCTCTGAGAAGGAAGAATGGTCAGAGTAAGGGATGATGTGGATGTCAGGGTGGGAGCGGTGGATTTTCCGGCTCGTGGGAAGGATAGCAATGGTAGGATGGGTCTGGTTCCAGTGCAGCATGGCAGCGCGGCAGATCTCCATGTGGTCCACGGCATGGATGCGGCCGGCCTTCTCCTCCACGGTGAACACATTTGCCAGGCCCAGCAGCTGCACCAACTCCAGGCGCTGAGGGCTTAGTACCACCCAGGTCCGAAACTCCAGGGCCAGCTGCTCCAGCAGTGACTCCTTTCCCAGGTTATAGAGTCCTGGATAATGTTAAAGGAAATGGGAAAAGCAAGAGATGAAAGAGAAAGAAGATACTGGGGAATCCTAAGAAATCAACCAAATGTTTAACAAAAATACACAAAATTGATGGAGCAATCGGGGAGTACATCGGGGAGGAGGTGGCATATGAGCTGAGATACACAGAAGATGGGGGAAGGCTTAAACAGAATCCACCCACTGGTTCAGTTCAACAAAGGAAAGCATCTACCAGGTGCTAGGCCCTGTGAAAATAAGCATAAGCCTCAGTCCTCAAGGAGTGTAACCTCCACAAGGACCCAGAAGCAATGTGGTTATGGGCAATGTTAGAGACATGCACACAGTATTATGAGAGTAAAGAAAAGTATCTACTGGTTGACAATTAGGGAAACTTTCCTGAAAGTGGCAACTGAGTGGTCATAAAGGATGGGTCTGAGTCTACCTGGCAAGGGAAGGGGATGATGAGTCAGTGTTACTAAAGTGCAAAGAAGGAATTGGTAAGAAATGACACAGGAGAGAACAATTGGTAAGGGTTGCATAATAAAGGGCCTGTATACACTGCTAAGGAGTTTGAACTTAATTCTGTAAGCGAAGGGGAGCCATTAAAGAATGTGCAGCAGGAAAATGGCTAATTTTTTTTTTAAGATTTTATTTATTTATTCATGAGAGACACAGAGAGAGAGAGGCAGAGACACAGGCATAGAGAGAAGCAGGCTCCATGCAGGGAGCCTGATGTGGGACTTGATCCCGGGTCTCCAGGATCACACCTTGAGCTGAAGGCAGATGCTCAACCACTGAGCCACCCAGATGTCCCGGAAAATGGCTAATTTTAATCACAGGAATAAAATGATCAGAGGAGGGCTTTGGGGGGGGGGGTAGTAGCAGTATTATTGGGTCACCTGGGTGAGGAGATGCTGAAAGCAGAAGTACCAGTTAGAGAGCCCCAAAATGAGGGCACCTGGGTGGCTCAGTTGGTTAAACATCTGACTCTTGATTGGCCCAGGTCATGATCTCCGACTCTTGAGATCAAGCCCCACTATGGGCTCCATGCTTTCTGTGGAGTCGGCTTGAGAGTCTCTTCCTCTGCCCCTACCCCTACTCGTGTGTGCTTGTGCTCTTAATAAAATTTACAAAAAAAAAAAAAAAAAAAAAAGGCCCCAAAATGTTTTATATACAATTGTGGAATCGCTAGACCCAACCATATAGTTGGTTTCTGGCTGTGTCTGGTTTTAAGCACTTCACTTGAATATCTACATTCTGATAAATTTTGTTCACTCAGGTACAAATATTTATTGAGTACCTCCTTAGGCATTAATCTAAGCATTTGGGATATATCCACAAATAAAACAAAGAGCCCCACCATTGTGGAATTTATATTCTAGTAGGGGTAAACAGGTAATAACCAAATACAACGAATGTAAATTGTGGAATATGTTATGAGGTGATCATCCAATATTGGCTCTCTCCTATTTGAAAACCTTCCACAGCTTTTTATCCAAATGTAACCATTTGGATCAGGTTACACTTAAGGATTACATTTAGGATCAAGTTCAAGCTTATAAGCAAGCACTTCAGTCCCTCTTACCTTGGCAGCCTCCTCACCCACTGTGTGCCTGTCACTCTGGCTGCTGCTTCTCTGTTCCACAAATAAGACTCCTTCCTACCTCTATCCATGCTTTCAAGGAGTTGGGGTGTGTGTGCGTGTGTATATATAGCAGAAGTGGAGAATAGACAAATAAGCAATAGTATATCGAAACATGGATAGAGTATACTGGAAGATGATGAGCGTTATGAAAGAGCTGAGATGGTATAAGGGATCAGGAAGTGGGAATGTGGGAACAGAGATGGTGGGAAGATTGTAATTTCTTCTTAAGATTTATTTATTTATTGAGAGAGAGACACTGTGCACAGCGGGGCAGGGGCAGGATGTTGGTGTTGGACAGCTGGGAGAATTTTAAGCAGACTGGGCGCTTGGTGTGGAGCCCTAGGCAGGGCTTGATCTCACGATCCTGAGCTGAAACCAAGGGTTGGAGGCTAACTGACTATGCCATCCAGGCACCCCAGGAAGATTGCGATTTTAGATAAGGGGGTCAGGGTAGATTTCATGGAGAAGTAGGGGGGGGTCTACAAAGACCTGAAGGATATGAGAAACCCTCAAAAAAAAAAAAAAAAAACCCCAAGATTCATTAGCTATGGGTGAAAGAAAAAGGAAAGGAAACCACTCACCAATCTTTATGTTATGTTGTGGGTGCTTTCGAATGAGCTCAACAATCTGGCGGGCAGCTTCTTGTCGGGAAGGAAGAACCCGGGCTGGATTGCAGTTGGTGTTGTCTAGGTATAAGGTATGGATCTGTTTCCCCAGTTTCAGGGCTGGCTCCTTTAACATGGATGGTGTATACCGAAAGTCACCTAGACAAAGAACATACAGGGAGCAGAGAGTCAGAGACAAAAGTATAAAACACAAGCCTCTCCCTGCTTCCAACAGCTGATAGACACTTGATTACTGGCCTGTGGAAAAACTAACAGGAAGTCAGGCACTAACACAGTATAGCTTCCGTTTCCATTTTGCTTCCGTTTTTATTATTCTTTATAAGGTTTGAAACTTTAAAGAGTGGGAAATCAGTTGAGAAAGGGTCACTTTGTTTATATGGGTTGAAGCTAGGAGGCCTCCAGACTTCTGAGTTAAGGCTACTCAAGAAAAGTGGTATCTAGGCTGGGAAGGTAGGAGGGAGGCCCACCTGTGTAGAGGATGGTTCCAAAGTATCCTTCAAAGAGAAACATGACAGAGCCAGGGCAGTGATTGGCATCCATGAGGGTTACAGTCATGGTCTCACGCCCAATTTCATCTAGAGGCAGGACATGGCTCTCACCAACCTCCAAGGCCCGGATCCACTTCTTAGATACCTGAGGAAAAAGTTGGTCATTCTAGTGAACACGGAATCTCCTTGATACTGCCCTGGATCAGGAACTAACCCTTTACGGCAAGGAGGGAAAGCAGACCACATCCTAAGCCACCCTGGAGCAGGAGCTGTATGGAGAGTCCCCTCAAATCCCCCCTTCTTCCTCTCACTCTCCCCTCCCACTCTTTGTACAATTTAAATTATGAGTCCAAAACCAGTCTAGCCAAGAGATTCTCGGACATTCCTGATCATCATAATCCCTAGGGAGCACCCGGTCCAACCAGATTTCCAAGACCTGCTCCAGCTAGATCTACTGGATCGGTGGGAGAGCGGAGGTAGGGTGGGGGCCGCTGGAGAACATGTGTAGTCCCCCAGCACATCAGGTGGATTCTTATGAGACTAAGGAAGCACTGGCCTAGTTTACATGAAAAGGTAGGTAGTTCCCTTGGGTGGACTAAAAGATCTCCCCGACTTCTAGCTGAAGCATCCCAAGTCGGCCAGTCAAGAAGCCAGACTCCCATTCTGAGCTAAAGACGCATTTCTGGATTCAAACCACTCCGGCATTTGTAGAACTCTGCCCTCCTGTCCCCGCTCTGCGCGTCCGAGGCTGTGACGGATCGCAGATCTCCACCGGACTCCACCCCGCCCCAGCCCCCGGGTACCTGCAGCTGACGGTGCACGAGGTGAGCCGTGACGGGGGAGCAGTAGAGCGGCCGGGCCCAGGTGCTAGACAAACCCACGGTGTGGTCCGAGTGCATGTGGGACAGGAAGAAGAGCCGTGCGGAGCCAGCCCGGCGCAGGCTCCAAAAGTCCACGGCGATGGGGGTGTGGGGGATCAGGGCCCCGTTCATGGTGGCGGGGCCGCGGGGTCGCCGGCGGGATCCTCATGGGCTCAGGGCTCCGCGACCGCGCCCTCCGGAAAGTCGCGCTGGGGGCAACGGGAAGCCAGCCCGGGAGAGGAAGAAGCCCCTCCGGCGGGGGCAGAAAGAAGGAAGCGGCCGCGCTCCCGGGAGGCCCGGCTGGAAGCGCAAACCGCGGAAACCGCCCGCCGGAGCGCCACTCCTCCCCGCGCGCGGGAGCCGGGGCTGAGGCCGGGCACTCAAAGCGCGCGCTGCCGGGCGCAGACAGGCCGAAGCAGCGGATCTCCGATGGTCGCCGCGCCCCCGGCAGAGGGAGCTGCGCGGCTGCGCCCCGCGGAGCGGCGGGGGAGGGCGCGGGGAGGTCGGCGTCCGGGCGGCGCTCGGCGCTCCCGCGGGGGGCGGGGGGGTGTGGCCGCGGCTGGGCGCCGTCGGCCCGGAGGAGGCGGGACTTCCGCAGAGCGCTGGCCGCGGCCTATCGGGGCGGGCCGCCGCGCGGAGGCGCTCGGACGGCGGCCCTGGCCGGGGAGGGGCCGCGCCCTGGGGCGGCGAGGCTGGAAATGGGGCGGAGGGCCTCGGGGTAGCCGGGGCCGTCGCGGGGCGGAGCGAGCCGGCCTGCGGGCCCCAGGAGGGAACCGCCGGAGCCGGGTTCGGGCTCGCGGGCCGTGGAGAGGGCTGGTGTGAGTGGCGGAGCCTGGGCTGCGGCCCGGGGGAAGCGGAGGCGGGGCCGACCTCGCGCCTCGGGGCGCTTCGCTGACCGACCTTTGCTTCGCCCAGGTTCCCCCGTCCGGGCTGGGAGGAGCCCGCGGGGGCTGCCCCTGGCCGGGAGACGATGCCGTACCGATGCCTGGGCTCCGAGGACGTGGTGAAGGAGCTGAAGAAGGCTCTGTGCAACCCGCACATTCAGGCGGATAGGCTGCGCTACCGGAATGTCATCCAGCGAGTGATTAGGTATCAGCTACGGCCCGCGCTCCCGCCGCTCGGGCCCTCCACCCCTGGCCGCCCTGCTGCTCCGCCGGCCTTCGCAGCCCCCCCCGGGGGACCGACTTGACTCGGTTTACTCGGCAGAGTGGTTACACCCGTGCCTGGACACTGTACACACAGTACACTGCTGACTCCCTCTAGACTTACAGAATCTAGGACAAAAAGCCTTTTGTATCTTCAGACCCACACATCCTGCTGCCTGCTGGGCATTCCCATCTGGATGTTTCTTCAAAGACATGCAAAATAGCACCTGCGTCCTGCCCCGCTCCCCAAACCTGCTCTTCCGCTGGTATTTGGGTTGAGGAATGTCACCATCCAGCTGACCAGGGGAGGGAATCCGTCTTGATGACTCTTGATTTTCACTTCTCTGGTCAGATGGTATGGATATATAGTTCTAGATATCCATCTTCTTTTCCTTAAAAAGTTCTACCTATTTATTTTTTGTTGGCACCGCTGTTCTGGTTTTATTACCAAAGCAATTGCAGCGGCTTACCAGTAGGTCACCTTGCCTCATTTCAGTCAAGTTTCCCAACGTACGAGTTTGAATAATGCATAACTCTTGCCTGTGCTTGTGGATTGCAAACTTTGGTATGTACAAAAGTCCCTTGGGGTGCTTTTTTAAAAAAATGTAAAATTTTCATCTGGTCCAGTAGTACTGCTTTTAGTAAGGTGGCGTGGAACCCAGGAATATGCATTGGAAACAGACATCCCATCTGCTTCCTGTAGGAGACCACCGCTTGAGAAATAGTGATCTACAGAATAAAGTCCAAACTTCTTATCATAGCAACCAAAGAACACCCTGCTTACGGAACTACTTGCAGACTCGCAGAGTGTAGCATTACTTACTTACTACACTTGCCTGGAAAATTCCAGCTCATTCAACTGAAGTATTACTTCCTCTTTGGAAACATTTTATGATTTTTTTTTAAATTTATTTATTCATGAAAGACACAGAGGCAGAGACACAGGCAGAGGGAGAAGCAGGCTCCATGCAGGAAGCCGGATGCGGGACTCTTTCCGTGGACTCCAGGCTCACGCCCTGGCCGGAAGGCAGGCACCAAACCGCTGAGAAACCCAGGGATCCCCCCCCATTTTATGATTTCTTAGCAGTATTAGATTTCTGGATCCTCACTGCACCTTGTCTGTTACTTCTGTTTTAATACTTACCTGTTGTACTGTAATTAGTGGTGTTTTTTTATCTTGCTCCTTAGTCATATTTTGAGTTCCTAGAGATCTGAGACCATGCATTCTTCAAGATTATATCCCCAGAGCATATCCCTGGAATGTAGAAGCTGAGTTACACTGGAATGTACCAGGAATTCAATAAGTGTTTGTTGAATGAATAGAAGAACATTTGTGGTAGGCCCATAGTGTGAAGTATTGTGTAGTGTAATAGGCAAGGTAGATGTGGTTGCTTCCTTCACAATCTAGTTGGATAGCCAGGATGTCTATAGGTAAAATGCCTTTTGTTGTCGGCTGGGGATTATGTATTTTACTTTTTTCTACTGTGTGTATTGGTTTCAGGCACATGACGCAGGGCTTGGACATGTCCGGTGTTTTCATGGAAATGGTGAAGGCGAGTGCCACTGTAGATATTGTTCAGAAGAAGTTGGTTTATCTGTACATGTGTACATACGCCCCCCTGAAACCAGATCTGGCTCTTTTGGCTATTAATACGCTGTGCAAAGACTGTTCGGATCCCAATCCGATGGTGCGAGGGCTGGCATTACGGAGCATGTGTAGCCTTAGGTGAGTACTCGCTTCCCTGACTGTTTATCAGTGGCTGATGTATTCAGGAGATCATGGGGCACGTTTTCAATGGTGATAATCTACTTGAGCTTCGTAATACTAGGGAAAATGCTGTTGTAACCTGAACTCAGGTTTTCAGCCATTGCTTAGGCTTAAAAAACTATGTCATATGATTACATTAAAGGGAGTTTTCCATCCTCACTGAAATAGTTTTTGGTTTTGGGTAAAGGTTTCTAAACAAGTCAGTAAATATAGATAATATGTAGATAATATATTTTTGCTGCCCCTGGAGTACTATTCCAAATGAAAAATCAAGTCTGACTTTTTAAGTTTGGCAGTGGCTTTCCCTAATTCTTTATGATGTGATAGAGGTACATTCAAACATCTACTAACCCTCTTGTTGAGTGAATAGGGGCTGAAGTATGTCAAAACTACTATTTCAAGATCTGGCTGACTCCAGGATGTGTTGCTTAGGATGCCTGGTGTGCAGGAATATATCCAACAGCCTATTCTCAATGGCCTGCGAGATAAAGCTTCATATGTCAGGAGGGTGGCGGTCCTTGGTTGTGCCAAGATGCATAATCTTCATGGAGACTCTGAAGTGGGTAAGTTTCAGTGTAATCCATCATGATCAGTATTTATTTGTGTCTCCATTATATGTATGGTTTTGTAAAAGATGACATGACTTTGGTAGAAAATAGTAATATGGCCCTACTTCTGTACTTGCCTCTTTAAGTAGAAAGGCTGGTTTGGTATTTTTTGACATTAGAGAAGTCTTTTCTTTGGGGGCCCAGGTGAGATCCATTGGATTAGCTACTTAGAACAGTATGGAGATGGCAATTTTTTGCCTTGCACTTTGTTATTGCCTTTGTTATTTTTGAGGCAGAGAAGGTCAGCTTTGTCTACCTGGAGTTATTACTCTGGTTCTATTCCTGAGACTCTGAAGCTGTTCTTTATCTGTGATCTTTGTGCTCTTTTATAGACGGTGCTCTGGTAAATGAGTTATACAGTTTGCTGCGTGACCAGGATCCAATTGTGGTTGTGAATTGCCTGAGGTCTCTAGAAGAAATTCTGAAACAGGAAGGAGGTGTTGTCATCAACAAGCCCATCGCCCACCATCTCTTAAATCGGTTTGGTTGCCTCAGTGCTCTTTTTGTTATTATGAGATCTGCATCCTAGTGGGATCTTGACGTGTTAAATTAAGGAGACATCTTTTTTTTTTTTTAATTGGAGTTCAATTTGCCAACATTTAGCATAACACCCAGTGCTCATCCTGCCAAGTGCCCCCCTCAGTGCCCATCACCCGGTCACCCCAACCCTCCACCCACCTCCCTTTCCACTACCCCTTGTTCGTTTCCTAGAGTTAGGTGTCTCTCATGTTTTGTCACCCTCACTGATATTTTCACTCATTTTCTCTCCTTTTCCTTTATTCTAAGGAAACATCTTGAACAACTTCTTTAGAGTAGTAAAGTCAACCATCACTATTAACTTTCTTGTATTTCACTGAGAGAATTTCTTTTATTTGTCTTAGATTCTTTTGATTATATGGAAAGATGACAGAAATATCCTGTGGAAATAGGTTCTGTCCTCCTCTACAATCATTATGTTCCACCAAACGAAGCATTTATGCTGTCTTAAACTGTAAAAAAATCAGGATCTAGGTATAGTGATCATGGTCTTTGGCCTTGGATAAGTGAGAATTTGTACTGTAAACTCAACTCAGACCTTAAAGCCTATTTTGTGTAAAGTTTAAATAGTACATAAAAAGAATGATTCTTTTATGGCATAGACTGTTTTGAGAATTTCCTCCTTGTTGTGATGAACAGATGACTGGTGACATGGCATTTGCATGCAGATGGTCCTAGTTTGGTTGCTAAAATAACACTTTTCTTTTCTTTTTTGGCTAGAATGCCAAAACTGGACCAATGGGGCCAGGCTGAAGTATTGAACTTTCTGCTACGCTATCAACCCCGCAGTGAGGAGGAGCTGTTTGACATTCTCAATCTGTTAGACAGCTTTCTCAAGAGCAGTAGCCCTGGTGTGGTGATGGGGGCCACAAAACTCTTCCTAATCTTGGCAAAAAAATTCCCCCATGTACAAACAGATGTGCTTGTGCAAGTCAAGGGACCTTTGCTGGCTGCCTGTTCTTCAGAGAGTCGTGAGCTCTGTTTTGCTGCTCTATGTCATGTGCGTCAGATCTTGCATAGTTTGCCCGGTCACTTTAGCAGCCACTACAAAAAATTTTTTTGCTCCTACTCGGAGCCCCACTACATCAAGTTACAGAAGGTGGAGGTGCTGTGCGAGCTGGTGAACGACGAGAATGTACAGCAGGTGCTAGAGGAGCTCCGAGGGTACTGTACAGATGTGTCAGCCGATTTTGCTCAGGCCGCCATCTTTGCCATAGGTAGGTATCTGCTGCCTTTTTTCCTTTTGGAGAGCTTCGACCAACCAGAAAGCTGTGGAACCATAGAGAAGAAAAGGGAATGAATCTTGCATCAGAGACAAATTACTGTGCACCAAAGAATAGGGTCAGTGACCGCAGAGAGGAGTGGGGGGAGGTTTTTTTCTTTGTCAACACTGGTGTTGCCATATCTTCTAAGATAGAGAACACAGATAACTCAAACTAGCGTACTTAAAATTTATATTGCTTTTGTTACCCAGAATGTTTTCCTGTATATCATCTTAGCACCATCTTGAGAGGCAGTCAGGAAAAGTGGACAAGTATTATCACTTCGTTTTAGAGATGAAGAGACCCAGAAACAAAAAGGTTATTAAATTGACCAAAAGGTCATGTAGTTCCTGACCTGGGGTTGGAAGTCGACTTTCCAGACTCAAAGTCCTATGTCAGAGATGTCTGGGCAGCTTAGCGGTTGAGTGTCTGCCTTTGGCTCAGAACATGATCCTGGGATTGAGTCCTGCATCGGGCTTCCTGCATGAAGCCTACTTCTCCCTCTGCCTGTGTCTCTGCTTCTCTCTCTGTGTCTCTCATGAATAAATACATAAAATCTTAAAAAAAAAAAAAAGTCCTATGTGAGTTGGCCAGTTGTTTATTGAGCTTCTACTACGAGCTATGTATTGTGCTAAGTACAGACCAGTACAGAGTAAATCCTAAACCTTACAGGCTTTTTCATACTACTCTGTCTGGAATTCAAAAGGCCACAGTGACTCACAAAAGGAAAGCAGCCGGGGAGTTACGTTTTGTTGGAGGGCTTCAAGTGGCAGAGGAGAGGAGCCCTTATATTAGAATAAAGAATGATTATTTTCAGGAGCAGCAAGAGAGAACAAAGAGGAGAGCAGAGTCTCCTGTAGTCAGGTGACTGCTGTCAAGTGTTCCTGGCAGAACATTGCTGTGTAGATGATCTGCAGCCAGCGATGCCTCGTATCTAGCTGCCACATAAATACCTTTGTTGCTGAAAGTTTTCAACCTTGTTCAATGGAAAATTCAGTTTTACCAAACTTAGGAAACAGATTGTTATTTAATCAAGCAAGAGGTAATTTTTTTTTAAGGGTATCTCTGGTTCTCTTTGTCTTTGATGGGAAGTTTTTTAAAAATGAGGTGCTAGGATTTGACTTACCACTTTGCTCTTCTCTCTGTTTCTCCGTAGGTGGTATTGCCAGGACCTACACAGACCAGTGTGTGCAGATTCTAACAGAGTTGCTGGGGCTTCGACAAGAGCACATTACCACAGGTAATGGCTGGCTACCCTTTGAGCACTTTTTTTTTTTGGGTCAATTGCTTGCCCCATAGCAGTTGCTTATAAAATATTTGTTGTTGAATAAGAGCTTTAAACTTTTCTTTGCATCATCATCTGTTGCTATCAGAAATAGCATAAGGTCTTAGATCCAATAGGTAGAGGGTCTTCAGGTTGCCATAACTCTACAAGGCTGTTCTGTAGATAATGAAGGGTACCAGAATGCTCATGCATGTTAACTCCCCACCTTTACTTCTCTTTTTCCTTTATGTCAGCAGTGGCTTCTAGGGCTGGGACTAGGGTGAGGCAAGCAGGGTCCCCAGGATGTAAAAATTTAAAGAGGCACTCACTCTCAGGTTCGTGCAAGTGCTAACACTATGTGTCTTCTTAAATTTTACACCCCCAGTGCCTTGTTTGCCTTACCCTAGTCCCAGCCATGGTAGCTCCATTTATACTGTCTTTAGAATAGCATTCAACAATAATATGACCTCACATTTGCTTTACATTCTATAATGTGCTTTTGCACATATTAGCACATTTTGCATATATTAGCTCATTTATCCTCATAGCCAATCCAATAAGGGCAACATTCATTTAAGAAATTATTGCCCATGTCCAACATTTCTCAGGTAATCATTGACCACCCCTCCAACACGCATTTTACAGAAATTCAGTAGCAATTACAGTAGCAATCTAGTCTGAATATGTGACTTCTTTTAAGATTCCTTTCTGCGTGGAGCCTCTAATCGTGTGCTCTTGTATCCTGAGCTGTGTTTTAGTGGTGGTGCAAACTTTCCGAGACCTGGTTTGGTTGTGTCCTCAGTGTACGGAAGCTGTGTGTCAGGCTCTGCCCGGCTGTGAGGAGAACATTGAGGATAGCGAGGTAGGTGGTAATTCTGCTTTACTTCAGGCAGAGGAGAAATGCTTGGGACCCTGCTCTGTAAAATGGAATCTAATTCTTCTCTCACAAATGCTTTGATAGTATTGTTTTCTTGAACTGTTTTGAGTTCAAGATTTAGACCATGGTGTTTTCAGCTGGAATGAGAATCAGAGTCATTGGTGGATATTTGGGCCTCACCGCAGGCCTACAAACTTTCAGGAGTGGTAGACCTGGACGGTAGTTTTTGTTTTTGTTTTTAAAGTTTAAAATTTTTTTTTTAACTTATTTATGATAGTCACACAGAGAGACAGAGAGAGAGGCAGAGACACAGGCAGAGGGAGAAGCAGGCTCCATGCACCGGTAGCCCGATGTGGGATTCGATCCCGGGTCTCCAGGATCACGCCCTGGGCCAAAGGCAGGCGCTAAACCACTGCGCCACCCAGGGATCCCAAGGTTTTTAAGAAGCTTCACATATGACCTCGATTTGCACTCTAGGTTAATTACTAGTTTCATGAAGTGGTTTAGAGGAATCTTTCAGTAGCTTCCATTGGCACATTAATAAAGCCCAGATTGGGGCAAAGGTCCCCAAACTGAGGAAGCCTTAATATATAACCCACACAGGCTCTGGGAGTTTGGAGTCTCCTTTTGTGTAGTAACATTTTATTCCTATTTGTTGTAGAGAGTGGAGTCAGGGTGCAGGGGATCGATACAATGCAAGTTGAAGTAAATAAAAGATTATACCTTTGCTGCCGATGTTGCAGGGGAAGCACAACCTGCCATTGTGTTTGGGACAGCCAAATGTTGAGCTCTTACTCCTTTATTCCCCAGGGGAAACAGGCACTTATTTGGCTCCTTGGTGTCCATGGAGAAAGAATTCCCAATGCTCCCTACGTGTTAGAAGACTTTGTGGAGAATGTGAAGTCAGAGACATTTCCAGCGGTGAAGATGGAGCTACTGACTGCACTGCTGCGCCTTTTCCTCTGCCGACCTGCTGAGTGCCAGGACATGCTGGGGCGTCTGTTACATTACTGCATAGGTAGGCTCTTCAGAAGGAAACTGTTCTTGTCAGATAGTAAACATTCTGACAGCTGACCCTGTTTGGTAAGTCATGTCTGGGACCCAAGAAGACAATGTTAATGATGTTAATGTTCTCTAGGAGTCCCCCCACCCCCACCCCGCCATGTGGTTGGCACAGGGTAGAAAGAGTGTTTTTGTTTTTGCTTGTAATTAACTCAGTCTTTGTCTTAACCTCAGAGGAAGAAAAGGATATGGCAGTACGGGACCGGGGTCTCTTCTATTATCGCCTTCTCTTAGCTGGCATTGATGAAGTGAAGCGGATCCTGTGTAGCCCTAAATCTGACCCTTCTCTTGGACTTTTGGAGGATCAGACGGAAAGACCTGTGAATAGCTGGGCCTCAGACTTCAACACACTAGTGCCGGTCTATGGCAAAGCCCGTTGGGCAGCCATCTGTAAATACCAGGGGGCAGAGCATCGGGGCCCAGAGCTTCCTAACACTGCATCCTTTGCCACCTCAGGTAAAAATAGTTCTTACTTTATATCTTGTCGTGAAAATTCTTTACTTTTTGCAATGACTGGTAGAAAGTAGAGTACCCTAGCTACATCTTAGGCTGTTGCCTGAATTTGAAGTCTTGATGGGCAACAAAGAAGTTCTTCATTGGTTATTTCAACCATTTATCTGAAGATAAAAGTCACATTGTGTACTTTTGGAAATCTAGATAAAAACCATAGTTCATATAGATTAAGAAGATCTCTTATACAAGCTTTCTGCCTCTTTTAGGTCCCCTGATTCCTGAAGAGCACAAGGAGACAGTACAAGAACTCCCAGATTCTGGAGCCCTCATGCTCGTCCCCAATTGCCAGCTTACTGCTGAGTATTTTGAGAAAACTTGGTTTAGCCTGAAAGTTGCTCATCAGCAAGTATTCCCTTGGCAGGGAGCAGTCCATCCTGACACCCTCCAAATGGCCCTACAAGTAGTGAACATCCAGACCATCGCAATGAGCAGGGCTGGGGCTCACCCGTGGAAAGCCTACCTCAGTGCTCAGGATGACACCGGCTGCCTGTTTCTAACAGAACTGCTGTTGGAGCCCGAGAACTCAGAAATGCAGATCTCTGTGAAACAGAATGAGCCGAGGACAGAGACACTGAACGGTTTTATTTCTGTATTAGAAACTGTGCTTGGAACCATTGGAGACATAAAATCCTAACAGATTCTTGCTGCCTGTCCTAAGTGAGATAGTAGCTATCAGAGTTCTAGTTTTTCTGATTAGAATTGCTTGAAGTCCAGATATTATCAAATGCAAAAGAGAATGGACAATCTCAGAATCAGGATTCTTATGTTTTTGTCCAAAGACAATTGACTTCTTCCTCTCATACCTCTAGGTGAATGACCCCATTTTTCCAGGTGTTGTTGAAAAGGTTAATGTTGGTAAGGGGATGGGATGGGGTGAGGATAGGATTTGGATTCTTTTCTAATCCATTTTAGGGATTGTTTTAACTAATTAAAGATGCTCAATGTTTATGGAAACTGATGAAGTCATCATTTGTGTGTGTGTGGGGGGGGTCATCTTTTCTTCCCTGTGTTACTGCAATAAATTCCTCACTGGTGTCATATTTCTAATCACACTTTTCAAGGCCAGAGTTCAAAGTAGCATCCAAAGTGACTCTTTGGTGTCCTGTCTCACTGCTCGTCCAAACACCGTTCTTGAAAAAGCAAACCACTAGCATTCCTTGAATGCACAAGGCTCTCTCACCTCTGTGCTTTGGTACCTGCTTTTACTTATTGGCTAGAACATTTCCTCACCCTCCTATCTTCTTTCTTTAAGTACCATCTAGTCCTTGTCTTACAGTGTTCTGCTAAGTCATGCACACTGGAAGTCATGAGCTCTTGCAGGAAGTTTTCTGTGACCCTTGCTGCTCTCATTATCGGTCCTGTTCGGGCTGTCATGGCATCCAGGGCATGTGTCTAGTAGTACTGGTGTAATGGTTTCCTGTCACTCTTCTCTGCTTTCAGTTGCATTCAGACCTGCCCACATTTCATACATTAACTGATGCAACTTAAGAGCAGATATAATAAAATGATTTAAAGTATAGATAGTGAAATGTAGATAACCAGAGGATCTACAACAGGGAAAAATGGAAATAACTACTTAAGACCAACGTGGTTGGTGATAAGGAAGTACGCACATGTTCAGGTCTAAGAGCCTACATAATTGATGCAGTAGAGCCTCAAATTTAGCTCCGTAAGTGATTTGACAGTCAAGGTGAAGAGAAATAGGTATATAACTGTCATCAGAGGGAAGAAACTTTCCAATATTAATTTTTAAGATTTTATTTATTTATTCATGAGAGACAGAGGCAGAGACATAGGCAGAAGGAGAAGCAGCTTCCTGGCGGGGAGCCTGATGTGGGAGTCAATACCAGGACCCTGGGATCAGGACCTGGGCCAAAGGCAGATGCTCAACCACTGAGCCACCCATGTGCCCCATCAATATTCATTTTTAAAAGGAATCTACATGTAGTTTCACATAGGTGGCACTAAGTGATAAGTACAGGATTCTTACAGAAAATTAGTAATGGGTTTCTCATGACTTACAGGGTTCTTTAATGAAAATGGAGAGCATAACTTTAACATGGAGCTTAGCGAGGGCATTTCTTCAAGAACTTAACGATAACATGATCCAAATGTCATCTAGCTTAATTCAAGGACTTTTACTATGTAGGTACATAAATGGACTTGCATACCTTTAAAAGATTTTTTCATGCATTACTTCTCTCAACTAGGCTCTTAAGAGTAGATAACAGACAGCATTGAATTTTCTGGCAAGGGCCTGGATTTTTTTTTTTTTCTTTAAAGATTTTATTTATTTATTCTTGAGAGTCACAGAGAGAAAGGCAGAGACACAGCAGGAGGGAGAAGCAGGTTCCCTCTGGGGAGCCCGATGTGGGACTCGATCTCAGGACCCCAGGATCACCACCTGAGCCAAAGGCAGATGCTCAACTGCTGAGCCACATAGGCGTCCCAAGGGCCTGGATTTTGTGAGTTGTTTTACCCCCTGGATAATTTCTAAGGACTGTGGTATTCTCCTTTCATCTCCACAGTCTGCCACATAGTGATGACTCAATAAATATTTATCAAATGAATGTAAGTAATTAGATTCTGATGGCGTTTTTGGATTGGTGTTCGAAGTAAGTTTTCTTATATTGTATCAACCAAACAAAATAATAATGGGAGTCCATCTAGGTTAGGGTTTTTCAAAAGTGGTATTAATGGGGCAGCGCGGGTGGCTCAGCTGTTTAGCGCCACCTTCAGCCCAGGGCCTGATCCTGAAGACCCGGGATCGAGTCCCACGTTGGACTCCCTGCATGGAGCCTGCTTCTCCCTCTACCTGTGTCTTTGCCTCTCTCTCTCTCTCTGTACCTCTCATGAATAAATAAATAAAATCTTTTAAAAAAAAGTGGTATTAATGACTTTCAGGGCCAGATAATTCTTTGTCATGGAGGATTTTCCTGTGCACTGTAGGATGATTATTAGCGTCTTTGGCCTATACCCACCAGAAGCCAATAGAACCCCCAGTTATAACAAAAATGTCTCCAGACATTGCCAAAGGTGCCCTGGTGGGACAAAATCACTCCCTATTGAGAATGATCTCAATCATGGGTCCTTAGGGATTACATTAGAGAGATCAGAACAGCTTTAGAATTGCTCTTTTCCATAGTTTGACTTGTTTGGTTAAGCCATAAATGTCAATTAGGTACTCAAAGAAATAAAATGGAAGTGTTAAGTGCTGCCAATTTAGAGTTATAAGGCATCAGGATATAAATGGTGGAGATTAAGTAAATTGACTTTTTTAAAAATTAAAGACTACAATAAAAATGTTGACCTAAAGAAAATTAGGTATGGCTCAGTAATTGAATAAATGTTACTAAAATGATCCCAGCTATTGGAGCTTTTAAAAGATTAAGTCCTACTTGGTTGTTTTTCTGTAATGTATGGGGGCATAACAGAATATGAAACTGTTGCTTTTGAAAAGTGTACTTTTAAAATGATCTCAGTAAAGCAACAATTCCTCTTAACTGTAGCCTAGTTTTGCTAATTTAGAAATTAGCTCTCTCTAGCCTTGGCAGACATATGCTTTGATGATGTGACATAAGTAGATGCATATTTTTTAAAAATCCTTGAGGGTAGTTGATATTGTGCTTTTAGGAAAATGGCCTTCTAATGTCTATCTTGGTTGGGAAATAGTATGTAACACATGTAATGGGAGCCTACTGATGACCGTGGTGCTTTAGAACATTGCAGAAGCAATCATTTATGTAGTTCCTGACCATAATCTTATTGCTATGGACTATTACATGCCTCCATTTCTTCCACCCCCCTTCTTGAATGGGAGTTCGTTACAATTATTCTATCTCTTTCTCATATATTGGGTATATGAGAAAATATACCCAATATAAAATAATTTATATTTTAGTTAGAGATTTATACATTGAGAGGAGTTGTAGCCAAGGATCCTCATTCACAGGCAAACATGGTGCAGATGACAAGGCTTTGAGCCAATGATAAAAAGTGATGAGGTTTTTGAGAGCAGGATGTAAATTGTTATGGCCACAGCAGCAAAAGAAGCAAGTGATGGTGAAAACATTCTGGCCTCATTTTTCAGTACTAACTAGACTGGGAGATAGTACTTGAACTGCAAGAGTGAAGGATATGTGGGCCGTGGGAGAAGGGATGGGACAGTTCTCAAAGATGCTATAATGAAGGCTCACATTGTCCAAGAGAAAGTATACTTTCATTTCCTTAGCCTTACAACGTTGATTCTATAAGGTAATGCTAAGAATAGATAAGATAATGTGGAGATCAGATTCCAGAGCTGGCATTTGTCTATAAGCACACCAGTTGTGAAATGAATTACTGTGGGAAAAGGTTTATTATTTGAGGTAAGATGGCTTGATTTTAAATTTCTATTCTGCCACTTAAGGATGCCACTTACCTTGGGTAAGCTGTTTAACACCAGTTGGATAGTATCTTAAAAACCTTTTGTTTCTTTTCATATGCTAATTGGGGAGTATGTCATAAATTAATTTGTTGGAATCCTTAAATTTTTAGTAACTGACTGTAGTGTGAAAGGAGGGTGGCCCAGAATTATCTCCAAAGGACCTATGTACATTGGAGATCTGAAGCTTACCTAGTAGAAACTGAAATTTCAGCCCTAGTGACAGATGAGAAGTGAAAATGGCCCTTTACATAATTTGTTTCTTGTCCCAAAGCAATTTATGATCATTTGTTTCTAGAATAGAAAATAGAAGGTTGGCTCGTTTTATTTCGCAAGTAGAACTTTTATTCTGAACAACTGCCTTAGAGTGCTTATGGTTGAATCTCTTATCAGCTCACCCGTTCAGAATACTCTGGAAGAGCTGATAGGTTTGAGAACTGACTCTCAAATCCAACATCTGGGTATAGCTACATTAAGAAGACAGCCACTATAGGTAAGTGTCTAATCATGAGAGCTCATAAAAACTGGTGGAGTCTAACCCTGTTAGGAGAATCCTACTTACTCCTGTTAGAGAGTAAATCCCAGTTCCCCTTCATCCTGGTCCTCAGGGCTTAGGCTAACTGGAAGACATTTAACATTTACTACCTGTGAGAAACTGCTGGATCATTCCACACATTATCTCATTTAATCCTCGTAATTTCCCTGTGAAATACTTTGTATGTTCCCCATTCCCAATTCCTCAAACACTCAAGTTTTTTCCCCTACCTTGTCAGCTTTCATATATCCTATTCCCTCCTGGAATGGTCTTATTTCTCCTTTTTTGCCTCATAATCCTTACTTGTCCTTAAGAGCTCATCTCAGATGTTACAACTTCCAGAAGCCTTCCTAACCCTCTAGGTCTGATTCCCCATTGCACACTGTAATCACACACTGTATCTCAATAAGCACAAGAAATTATTCTTAGTCATGTAATATCTGTCGCTCACACTGAAGCGTAAGCTCCAGGAAGACAGGAATGTGTCTGCTCCATTTTCCTGTGTTATTTGTAGTTCCAGGCATAGTTCCTTATCCATAGACACTCAGTAAATAAAATGTCTAATTATGGTAAATAAATGCCATCTATCGGAGTTGTATGTTTGTCTACTATCATTTCAAAAACTTCTTTAAGTTACACCATACACAAAACCTAACAGGAAGTATTTCTAAAGGAAATTGCCCAAGAAATTCTTCCTCAGCTCTCTTTCGGTTCTAAATTGGTCAACAATAAAAGTTATTCATTAATCTTAGGTGCTGGCTAGGGTGTGGTACTAAAAAAAGGAACTGAAAGTCTCCATAAAGTCGCCCCAATTTGTGTAAGTGAGCTCTTCAGAGAAGTCCCATGTTTCTGAGTAGCAAGTTTTGAAAAAAATTGGTAGGACAGGCTCTGGAGCTATAAATCCCATTAGGAAACCTTACAAAGCACAAAGACAGACGCATGTGGCTTACCAATATTTCTGACTTTCTGCTGGGCTGAAAATTGCTTGTTTTGTGGAAAAGCAAAACTCCACAGCAAGCATCTAAAATGAAGAAACCCCGAACTTTTGAGGAGCAAACGGAATGTATCGTGGACACTTTACTCAAAGACTTCTTAGGCACCACGCTGCTGGTTGCTGACCGGAGCCTACGTTGTGTAGATGAAACAGATTCAGGTAAGGCTCCTGGCATGAGGTCGTGATGGCAGGTCAATAAGAGAAGCTGAGTATGCTTTTTTATTTTGTCTTCACTTCCAAAATGCGAACTAAGCTTTCAGCAATACCTGAACATCAGTAGCCTCCATGAAGGGAAAGATGTTCTCAGGGAAGGGAGATCTTCTGACTATGGGGTTGACAGAATATTGAAGCTGTTCTTGGAAGAGAATGATGCCAAGATTGTTTAAAAGTCTAGAGAATGTTCTCTAACACCCAGATTCCTGGGACTTGCCATCCCCTCAAACTCTGTAACAAACGTAAATGTATTCTCTCCCTCTTAGGAGAGGCTTGCTCTTTTGATGTGGCCATCATTGCTGGTCGCCTTCGGATGTTGGGGGACCAGTTCAATGGAGAATTGGAAGCTTCTGCCAAAAATGTCATTGCAGAAACCATTCGGGGACAGGTAAAGTTGCTGCAGTTTTTCTATTCCAAATACTCTTTTCTTACTATTCTTATACAACTGTAACTAGAAATGTCCTTTGAAAGATTTGGGGGCTTATGTTCATCCAAGGAGACACAGCAGGAGCTCTCCAGTTGCTAGTTATTCAGGAGCTAATCACAGGTCCAAATGGTATTGAGAAGAGAATCTTCTGGGTGGTCAGCCTTCAGACTGTTCCCATTTGTTTTCCAGCAGAGCGGAGCATACATGGCATAGAGCACATCTGTAGCACTTTGTTCTAGGTAAAGCACTTTATTCTTTTATGTACCTGTTGTAATATTTATTTGGCTGGGAGTGGGCATCTCCCTCTCCCCCCAACAAGGTCCAGCAGTGAAATTATCTACATAATTTCAGAACGACAGGCAGACAAGGCAGTCGACAAGTCTGCTGGGGTGAGGGGTAAGTACCTACAGCAACCATCTAGGGCATATCTGGATTTTCATCAGAATGCTGATTACTGGCAGAAGCACTTGGATTCTGTATTGCTTGTAAAGACCATAGACGATGTCGTGTTCTAGAAGATATTTCTGACTAATGTCAACAATGGCGAGTACTATGAACTTATCACTTAATACGTGCCAGGCAGTATTCCAAACACTTTGCACTTATTATCTCATTTAGACCTTCCACCCCTCCCTGGGGTGTTATAGAAACTGTTATTCATCTGTGCATGTAGTGCTATGGGAGCAAACATCTAACCCTTTTGTTCACTGCGGTATCCACACAATTCATAGTAGTACCTCCTATATGAGAGACCCTCCACAAATACTTTCTGACTGGATATCCATGTAAACAGATAAGGAAACTGAGGAAGAGGGAAACAAGAAATTAGGTTACTCAGAGAGTATTGAAGTTAGGATTTGAACCCAGACTGATTCCAGAATCCTACTCTTCACCATTATGCTTTATTCTGGATGGTGCACCTATTTAGGCAGAACTGTATTATCACTCTTAATTGCTTGCACTAAAGTTTTCCTAGGTAGCAGAAAGCTGAATTTACTTTTATTTTTTAATTAAAAAAAGTTTTTTGAAACAGTTCTAAATTTATAGGAAAGTTGTATATATTGTACAAAGAATTTCCCTCTTGAATCATCTGAGAGTGGGTAGCTGATAGGATGTTCCATCATCTCCTAATACTTGCACATTTCCTTTCAAACAAGGCCATTCTTTTATATAACCACAGTCTAGGCATCAAAACCAGGAAATCAGCACTGACACATTATCATCTTGTCCTCAGATCCCATTCAAGATTTGCCAATTGTCCCAGTGATGTCATTTAACAACAAAAAGATCTAAGCCAGGGTGCCTGGGTGGCTCAGTTGGCTAAGCATCTGCCTTTGGGTCCCCTGCTCAGCAGGAAGCCTGGTTCTCCTGCTTCCTCTGCCTGCCTCTCCCCCTGCTTGTGCTCACCCGTTCTCTCTCTCTGTCAAATAAATAAATAAAATTTAAAAAAAAATCTAGGCCAGAATCATATCCTGCATTTAGTTGTCATGTCTCTTTAGTCTCCTTCAATCTGGAACTGTTCCTCAGTCTTGCCTTGATTTTTCATGACCTTAACACTTGAAGATTATGGGTCAGTTATTTTGTAACCTTGGATTTGTTCCATGTTTCCTCCTGATTAGATTCAGGGTATGTACTTTTGGTAGGAAGATCACAGAAGGGTTGCTGTGTTCTTTTCATTGCACCTATTAAGTGGCACAAATTTCAATCTGTCCCATTACTGATGTTAACTTCAATCACTTAAGGATAGGGTCTGCAAGGCTTCTCCACTGTAGTTAATATCCTTGGTTAATATAGTCAAGTATTGTGGAGGGAGGTACGTTGAAACCATGTATCTCATCAACATTTCAATCTATTAATTTATTTTTTACATCAACATGGACTCATTAATTCCTCCTTTATTCAAAGGTTAAAATCTCTTACTATCACTATTTATTTGGATGCTCAAATTGTCCCAGTTTTGACCAGTGGGAGTCCTCTCCATCTGGTCTTTTTGGCATGCCCCTGTCATTCTGTGGGTACTTCCTTGATTTCTGACAGATCTCTTTGTATTTTCTAAGCCCCACCCTGAAATCAGCCACTCTCCAGGGACCTTTGGTTTCTTTTAATGAAGAATGATATTTGGAAACCAAGATCTGGGTTCTCATGTAGATGTCTTTCTCAGCATGTTTGACTCTGACAGCCCACTCTGACTAACATGGGTCCCCCTACAACACTACGCTAGATCTTGCTTGGCCCATCTAATGACTTTTGGATCAGTTTTTGGGGAGAGGACAGAGGAAGAGGAAAAACAAGTCTTTTTTTTTTTAACTTTAGAATTTCCAAGATGTCAGTCATTCAAATAATACCTTCACCACTCAACCAGCTGTGCTATCACATACTTAATATTTTTCTTTCAAATCATTTTGTTTTTCTTTCAACCATTTTGCTCATCCTCAGTAATAATGTCCAAAATCATGGGATGTGGTGGGTTATGTTTTCTCTATACATGTTACAATAAACAACAAAATAATAAAATAATAGACATTTGTCCATCTACTCCTTAAGATTACCCCAGATACAATCAGTTGTGCATCTGCCATTCTCTAGGAAACTCTTGCTTTACTGGACTCCTGCCCCTGCAGCCTCTTCTGCTTATTTATCGATACTTCACTGATAAACTATGTCTCTCCCCAGGCAGGAGCTGTACTTCGGGACACAGTAAAATCTCTCAGCCAGGCCTGGTGTGCTCAGGATTCCAGCTTAGCTTATGAGAGAGCCTTTCTGGCAGTGTCAGTGAAGCTTCTTGAATATGTGGCCCGCATGGCTCCTGAAATGGCAAGACAGATGGCTGCCCCCATGACAAACATGATCAATGGGAACAATGCCATCCGGGAGTTTGTCCAGGGACAGGGAGGTTGGGTAAGTATGTTGGAGCCCCTGGCTTTAATAGGCATTTGCATTGTTTTTGTACTAATACCTGGGACTCCCAATTCCAGATTCTTTCTGTAAGTTGGAAACCAAGTAGAAAAACGGACCTCCTTATTTTGCCTGCAAATGGCAGGTTTTTGTTTTTGTTTTTGTGTGTGTGCCATGGAAATGGCAGCAGAAGCTCAAGATTATAGATGTTGGACTCCAGAAACATTTGCCTAAAGTTTTAGTTGACTACTAACAGTGTAGAGCTAAATTCCGCTTCCCAGATATAACAGCCTAGGAAGTATACTGGTGATAGTGTACTAGGCTCAGCCTGGCTTCAGAAATTCAGAATCATCCCCTGTTGTCTAACCAAAAACAATGTCATCTGCTGCAGTAATAATATAGGAGAATAACTAAGCCCATGTCTTACTAATCATTAGAATATCTGCTCTCATAGAGCATTCCTCTTCATGTCCAGCATCAGCAGAAGCCTTAGTAAGAGCTGCATTCCTGGGAGGTACCTGTAAGTAATTTGTGGTTTCTTGAGGAAGCTCCCTGTAGGAAGATGATCCCTTTGACCGAAAGATATTCATTGTCCTTCCTAGGAAAATCTGGAGAGCTGAAGAAGAGGTGGCACTGTTTACCAGCCTAAACATCACTGCTACTTTGATCGGGCGATTGATTTCTGGCAATTAAAACAGATGACCAAATGCAAAGCTACCTTCTTTTGGACTTAGCTGAATAATTTCTTCTCTACTGATGATGCTAAAGTTAGGAGCAGCCCTCGGAGGTCTACAGAGATTTTGTACTTTCTGCCTTTATGTGAGTTTTAATGAGGTTCCATTTAAGCAAATACCTCCAGATACAAAGTAATGGCTTGTTAGGAGTGGAATTCCAGGTGACAGAGCAGGACTTCGCTGGAGATAGTTTGGAAAAGGGAGCACGTGATAAACTATTCATTCAGATTTGGCCCTGTCCTTTGGTAAGGATTTGTCTACTCATTTTGCAGTCTAAAGATCTTCTGGGAGATTTTGGTTGGAACCATGTCATTTTAAGTTGATAATTTTCTTTTAAATCCCTAGCCTAAGTTTTGTGTTAATTTCACCAAAGCAGAATTATTTTATGAATTTTTAGGTTGAAAGCAAAAAAATGGCAGTTTCCTCATCTGCCTTTCTACTAAAAAGGCCGACAAAAGATGAAACAGTATATTTTTACTGCCACAGGATGCAGGAAGTGCTGGCCCACATCTAGGACAGTTGGGGCCATCCCAGCTTAGATGAAACTAGCTGTATACCACAGTATTTTTCAAACCGAAAACTGGTTTACATACCCCTGGTGGACCTTATAAATTGCTGATTTCCAGGCCCCGTTCCTAGAGATTCTGATTCTGTAGGGGTGGGCGGAGACCTAGGATCCTACCTTTTTGAAAACCAGTTCCACAGGGGATTCTTTTGTACATACAGAATTTGAGAGCCATTACTTTAGAGCAGGGCTTGGCCAAATACTGCCCACTACTTTTTTTGCAGATAGGTTTATTGGCATGCAACTACACTCGCTTGTTTCTAGATTGTCTATGGCTGTTTTAGCACTGCAATGGCAGAGTCGAGGAGTCACAGCAGATACCTTATGGCTTGTAAAATATATTTAATATCTGGCCCTTATGGGAACATGTGTAGCTTTAAAGCTAGGTGAACATTTCTCCTTGAATTATTTAAGTTCGGTTGCAATCCTGATCACTCATGCCAAACACAACTGTATGTAGGATAACTCATTTTTATTTTTATTATTTTTTTTTAGAATTTAGTCTGAGAGTGTTTGTTAGTTCCTGCATAGTAAACACTTTCTCTAGGACTCTGAATCATAGAGCTCCGAGACTCCTAGGTAGTCAGTCATTAGAGGGTATACATTTTCCTGGCCCTACCATAGGTGACTGGTAGTGACTGGAAGCATATGATATCTACGGTATGTGTATCTTGTAATAGTCCTTAATAATCTTATAGGTGAGTAGGCAATCCTCAAGTAGAGACTCTTATATTCATAAGTCCCAAGACTAGACTACCTACCTGATTGTCAAGAAAAAAAAGCATTGCTATATCTATTTTTGAAGAGCAGCATTAATGGCTTGGTTACAGTTTGGCTCAAGTGTAACCACATCCCCTCCCTTCAGCCAGCCAGCTATCTGCTTCCCCAAATGCATAGAAACAAGGATGTAGGTAGCATTGCTACTATATTTTGACTTTTTCAAGTTATGCTCTTTCCTCTATTCATAGATAAATCAAAACAGGTTAGTAATCCCAAATGAGATTCCATGTCTCTATTAATAGAAATTAGCTTGTTTTGCTACCAAGTTAAGACACTCAATATATTCCTTTGTCCTTTGCATTACTATAAATTCAACATGGTGGGTTTTGTGGTATTTGACTTCTTCGGCGATATCACTATTTTCACTTTGACCAATGCTGTTTTGTTCATGAAATAAAATTGTGTCTACATATTTGAACTAATTCTCAGCAAGTGCAGTCTCAATTGAATGACAGAGAAACAGAACAAATTGGTAGTTGCCAGGGGCAGGGCGTGTGAGGTGGGGGGAGAGAGATGAAAGTGGGCAAAGGGTATAAACTTCGAGTTACAAGATGAGAAAGGTCTAGGGATGTAATATACAGCATGGTGACTATAGTTAATAATACTATATCATATATTGAAAAGTTGTTAAAAGAGTAGATTTTTAAGGAACTCACCACACACACACACACACACACACACACACACACGCTCTTTCTTTCTTTCTTTCTTTCTTTCTTTCTTTCTTTCTTTCTGATTTTCTTTTTTTAAATTTTTTTATTGGAGTTCAATTTTTTTTTTATTGGAGTTCAATTTGCCAACATATAGCATAACACCCAGTGCTCATCCCGTCAAGTGAGATTTTATTTTTTCTAAGTAATCTCTACACCCAACATGGGGCTCGAACTCACTGAGTTCAAGAGTCGCATGTTCCACTGCCTGAGCAAGCCGGGTACTCCAAAACACATCTATTCAGCTAGGTGAGGTGATAGACATGTTAACTGACCTTATTGTGGTAAGCATTTTGAAATATGCATATATAGCAAATCATTACACTGCATGCCTTAAACTTATACAAGGTACATGTCATTACATCTCAATCAGCTGAAAGATAAAGTAAATGATAAATGTCAGAGGCCAGCAGCCTCCTCTTTGTCTTTTTTTCTCCCACTTAGCTAGAGCAGCTCCCTGTTTCATCCTATACTGCCAATAAAACATCAGAATATGAATCTGGCTCTGAGTGTACAGCATTATTTTGAGATTGCGGACATGGTGCCTCTGGGGATTATACCAAATAAATGGGTAATGCAGCTCTGATTTGGATGTTGTGTTTGTTACTGGGCCATCTGCTTCTAGGCGAGCTGAAGTGGTGGAGTTGCAGCAAGAAGACACTGTAGCCCAGAGATTAAAAATACCTTCAGATTGTCTGATTTTAACAATTTAGTTTTACCAGAGACTAATCATGCGAATTGGGCCAGTAATCCAATTCCTTTGTGTCTTAGTTTCCACATCTGAAAATAGAGATGTTTTGGTCACTAATTCATAGGATTGTGGTGAGGGGTAAATGAAACAATACATTGTGTTAAGGGTTTAGCCCAGTTTCTGGAATATTTTAAGCACTGCACCATTAGCAATTTGAGGCTGCTGTGATTTGGGGTTCGTAAAGTTCTAGCTTGACTTTTTTCTCTCCACTGACACTTTTACAAAGATAAGCCAACCTTCTGGCTTTACCTCTCACCTCAATGTGAGTGATTTCTAAGTCTGACTAATTTTCCTTCTTCCTAAATCCACATCTACAAGCTCTGATTCTTCATTTCTGTATACCTTTTTTTTTATATCTATGCTTTCCCAAACTGCCATCCAGCTAGCTCATAACCTTAGTCATTTTCCCCTGTTCACTCTTTCCAGTCTTACACACAAAATTAGTCTTTCTCACTTATTCCTTATTTTCTGACCTAATTCTCTCACAAGAGTTTATTACCACTTACCTGGACTTTTGGTAAAACCTCTTAGTTAGGCTGTTAATTGATTGTCCTGTTCCAGGTTGCCCCATTCCAGTCTGTTCTGTATACTGCCACCAGGTTAACCAAAGCTGTGGTTTCCTTGTCTATTCTTTTGATTAGTTTTTAGATATGGTATAGTTCATTTTGAAATTTTACATACTACTGAAGGAAATGATGAGACTTTCAAAATATTAATTACAAGGGGCCATTTCTTAAAAAAAAAAATATCAAGGACCATTGCTCTAATTGCCATTTTCTTAAGATTTTCCAGTGCAACTTTTGAAGGTGATTGGATACGTTCATTATCTTGATTGTGGTGATGGTTTTGTGGGGTGTACACATTTCAAACTTATCCAACCACACACTTTGAAATGTGTAGTTTACTGTATTTCAATAGTACATAAATAAAGTTGTTATTTATTTATTTTTAAAACAAAACCTTCACTGGTTTTTCACTGCCTGTCAAATAAAGCCCAACTTTTCAGCCTGGTATTCAAATTTCCTCAGGGTCTGTCTCCAACTGCCATTTCTAGCCTTTTCAATCAGGACTCTACATAACTAAGGCTTGGTCAGATTGAGCCACTCACTAAGCTACCCTCTTCCTATTGTTCTCTCTCTCTCTCTCTTTTTTTTTCCTAAAGATTTTATTCATTTATTTTTGAAGACACACAGAGAGAGGCAGAGATACAGGCAGAGGGAGAAGCAGGCTCCATGCAGGAAGCCCGATGTGGGACTTGATCCTGGGACTCCAGGATCACACCCTGAGCTAAACTCGCCCCCCCCCCCTTTCATATTGCCTCTCCTCAGGCTCTTTGACAAATCCAGGGCCTAACTCAAATGCTGCTTCCTCCATGAAGGCTATCCAGGTAACCCAAGTCAATGTGATCTTTGCCTTCTCAAAATTTTGTTTGCATAACATTTATAGCTGTACCACAAGTGGCCTTAAATTACAGCTATTTGTATACTTAACCTTCCTCACAAGTATAAGAGGTCCTTGAAAGAAGATAATTTGTTGTATACACCTGTAGTGCACCTCTTCCTTTTCTCTAGCATATATCTGGATCTCTTAAATATTCATTAAATAAATAGATGAATAGACTGAATAAACAATCAAAAGGAAGATAAGACTTCTAGTTTAATTTTCTTTAAGATTTTATTTATTTATTTATGAGAGACACACAGAGAGAGGCAGAGACATAGGCAGAGGGAGAAGCAGGCTCCCTGCAGGGAGCCCAATATGGGACTTGATCCCAAGACCCCGGGATCATGCCCTGAGCTGAAGGCGAGCGCTCAACCACTGAGCCACCCAGGCACCCCAAGACTTCAAGTTTGATTATATTTTGAACAAGATGCCAAAACCCCACCAAGAGTCCCAATTCTGTTTTAAGAAAAGGTACATTGTGTCGATTGCAAACTATCAGTTGACTTTTGCCTTCTGAGGGTTGTTTCCGAAACCAAAGGCAGAACATGATTCCCTGTGGAATGTAGGAAGCTAACTAAGAGGTTCATAGCCGATGACCTGAGATTGATGAGGGCTCAGAATGCTGTAGTGACAAGAAGCAACTGTGACCAGAAGCAATCGTGACAAGAACACGGGTAGAGGACTTTCCTGGTGCCGGTGATGTAGAAACATGAACAAAGCAACAAGCTTCATCAGAGGTGTTTTAGAAGACTCTTCTGTGTCCATTTATAGAAGGGAGAATGGATGTATTCTGGAGAGGAAGGAGATCATTTCTTCCCCCAGCCATCACAGCCCTGCAGGATTGGACTCTGCCTCAGTGGTGGTGGCCCCATTCCTTCCCCAACAATGGCCCTGCTGCTTGGGCAGCAGCACTCAAGCAAGTGCTCTTTGCCAGGTTCCCAGGGCCTCCCTGCAGGGAAGGCCCATCTGCTAGTGAGAGTTCCCAGCCAGAGACTGGTGTAGACTGTGCCAGGCAGGAGACCTGGAGTCACTGATGTAGTGAGTAAGCAAGTCAGTGTGCATCTCTCGCCAATACCTAACCGTGTTATATAGCACACTCTTTCATAACAGAAACAGGTTTATTTTAAGTGTGCTTAAGACCACGTGAAGTGTTGTGGCTTACACAGATACATACAGAAGACACTAGCACTGCCTTTGATAAACTTAACCCTCTAGGGGGAGGGTTATGTTTTTTCTTTTGAATAAACTCTTTTAAATAATCTTATGGGAGACTAGGAACATGTGAAAAAAATGAAGAAAACTTCTATAGCTGAATATATAGACTTGACCTGAGAGAAGGCCAACTAAGTAAGAGAAGTGTGTGGTGAGATGGCATTAGGAGCAGGGTTTTTGAAGAAAAGAGTAACCAGGCTTTACAGCTTTATTTTCGTCTTGATGAAAAGTAGGGGAAAGGTGAGAAGTAGCAAAAGAGGTGGTGATAGAATGAACAAGGCCTGTGGGTAATGTGGCTAGGTAGTTTGGATAGGGACACATGGGGAGGGGCGTGGTGGCAAGTGGAAGAATCAGGACAGACGTGTTCCCATAGACCATCAGTGATTACTTTGGGTCTTTAGCATGACAGTAGAATTTTAAGAACTTTCGTGGTTTCTAGAAGCCTTGGTTCCTAGGAGATGGTAGCATGGGGTATAACTGAGAGCCTGTTGCTACAGGAACCCACATGTGCAAAAGTACAAAAGGGGACAGTGGTCAGCAGGGGAATGGACAAGACTGCTTGAGTCTACCAGATATTGAGGAGAGAGGACAAGTTGGCCCTGGTGACCAAGGGGATGCTCACAGAGAATGGAGTATCCCACAGATAACACACAGAGCCCATATCAAATCAATGGCCCTGCAATGTAGAGAAAGGCAGGCATAGTGCCACTACAGCAAAAACTGGTGAGTGGCTTCCCCAGGGTGAAATATGCCTTCTTATATATAGAGAAGGATATTCTGAGAAACCTGGGAGTATTTCTTATTAAATAATAACTGTCCTAATACTTTCCCCTGATATTCTCTTTGGTTGAAAGATTTTTTTTTTCTTTCGGTCATTGAATTCCAACTCGGTGACACTCGTGTTTCCCCTTACACTGGTGTACTTCCCTCTTCACGATATGGGCGACAGTGTGATGGTCACTTCTCTCCACTGTCGTCTTCCTTCTGAGCACACAGCAGAGCCACAGGAGGCAGCAGTGAGGTCCTCCTTCCTCTCTCTTCTTCAGGCGCTCATTCACTTTTACTTTCCACTAGAACTCACCTTTGAGGGTTCTGACAAAGTGCTCATGGGTTTTTCACTGCATGGAACTGTCGTGTTCACTCAGGGTTTATGCCAGCCCGGTTTAAATGTTTCATCACAAGTTCATAAATCCTTTTAGGTGCTTACCAGTCTTTGCTGTATAACTTGCTCCCCCTTTGCCAGCTCTTGATCTTCCCACAGGAGATAAATGAGTCATCAGAATCTCTATCAAAAAGCATGATGCTCCTGTTGTCCTCTGGTATCTGTAGAAGGAAGTACAAAAAATTAAGTATAGCAGCTTAGATTTGTTCAAAATAAAACTGAAAAAGAATAAATAAAACTGAAGGGTTTTTTTGTTTTGTTTTGTTTTCTCCTTCACTCTTGTTTTTTGCTTACTTGAGTGGTCTACTCAGGAAATGGTCTTTCAGCTAAGTGGGTTTTTGAGGTTGGGTTCTTTCACGATGTTTCTGTATCTTTTGGTTTTAGAGTGGAACAGACTCCTAAGAATTGCTGTTTGCTCTTTAAAAAACTACAGTTATGTGAAGATAATATTTTTAGATTCTTATATTTGGGGTAAAAGTGCTATGGAGGGTATCTCAGCGAATTTCTCTCTGTCTCATATCTATCTCTATGTCAGCTCTCCCTAAGATGAGACTAAAGTTAGAGATTGTTCTGAAATATGAACTTGAGAAAAAGAGCTTTAAATCTCATTTTATTAGGTCTCTTTTGTTATTAATTAGTAAAGATCTGGTTTGGTTGGAAGTAATTATATTCTAAGGGGACCGAAATTCTCTCATTAAAATATAGAACATCATTTTCCTTTTAGGGATATGCTTTGCTACTCTGCAAATGAGCAAGTTAGTTTGGAATGTTTTATTTTAATTAGTAATTACATCTTTGTCTTAGTCTTGAGATGCTTTATTATTGGCTAACAGTGCTTTTTACTGTATTCTGGCTTGTTCACTACTATATCCGCAGCCCTGACATAGTGCTTTATATTTAGTGGATAGTCAATAAATTTGTGAACAAATTGATGGATTTTTTATGTCTTTTATTCTAATTTAAAGATAGCATAATAATTTTAAAAGACTTTTTAAAAAGCACCCTTGATCCCAGCACTTACACAATTGATTCTTTTCTGCATCACTTACTTAGTCTTCACCTAACCTTATACATACTTTTATAGAGTTTTAGTTATTGTGAACTTTAGCCTTTGTGCTTTTAAAGTTTTCCTTATATTTTATATGTCTTAAAATAGCCAAATTAAACGTCACATTAGTTAGTGCAACAAAAAGTTCCCTTTTAATGCCAGATGGGGCTAACTGGGGAAATACTATCCTATTCTCAACAAATATGATTGAAGAATTATGCTTAATTTTAATTTATTATGTGGCTCTGGATTGAAATTCTCTATTGGCCTCACCTGCCCATAGCAGGATCCCTCAAAGACTGTTCCTTTCCTGTTGTGAGGAAAATAAAGTGGATGCAGCTTCATAGTGTTTGGAGTCATAATTTCCTAAAGGAAGTTTGAATAATGCAAAACAGAAAGGATTGCTAATATCTTAAATAGAGGAAGCTCTAATGGCACATTTCCCGGTTTCCTTTGGTATTATTTCAGGCTAATTTTGCTAATATTTATGGAACTCCTGTCCTCAAGCAGAGATGATATGCTGATTTTGGCTTGCACTTACTCTGTATGAGACAGTCTTAGGTAGGTTTGTACTCGCTGAGGAGAGGATTTATTCAAGCTGAGATATGGAAGCTTTTTTCTAGAATAGCCTGCCTGTCAAACAAGCCAAAATGCCACGTGTACAGTGTGGCCTCCTGAATCAATGGCCTTTTCCAAAGCACTCTTTGGGAAAGTAGAGATGTCTTCTCTAGACCTGGAAAGCTACTGTTGCCAGCAAGGTAGTCGATTTTACTCTTTCTTCTGTTCCTTATAGTTAACTAGCATTGGATACAGAGGATATTGGGCCAACTTCCTCATCAGGTGCTCTTCATGGGGCAGGGGCACACTATTCTCCTGGCTCCTGTACAGTCCTGAGATCAACAACACTTCCCTTAAACAGGTCGGCACTTCCCCAGTCCTGGGGAGAGATACAGACTGTCAGAAGCAGCTGACTTTGCTTCATCCAAAAGAGAATTTGAGGTCTGTCCGGCAGGCTTAAAACTTCTGAATAAAAATGCCTTGTCTGATGAACAGAAATTTGCCACTGATCACGTGGACAAAGAACTAGGGGAGAATGGTACAGGTGGAAGATGTCTTAACTCCAAACAGTGCCTATCTCCCTTTCTGACACTAATTTTGCTGTGTTCATCTGGGACCTGAAGAAACAGAAAGTATTAGCAGGACCTCTGTGTTCATGGAGGAACTGGGGAGAAGCAGACCCCAGCCATGAGAACTGGCCTTCTGCCTTTTCTCTAGGAAACAAGAAAAAAAAGGTGAATCTTGCTTAAAGATGATGAAGTGTAAGAGTCTCAGAGCTAAGCAGACCATGTGTTATGTTCTGGTTAGCCTCTTGTTTGTTACAACTTGAACTGTAAACCAGGTTCCTTCCTTGAGAAGGGAGGCACTAGGGCCCTGAGTGATGGTGGCTTTGTTGTGTGACCACAGAGGCTGGTTGCGTACTAATTTCCTCTAGGGCTTGTGACGAAGTCAGTTAACCACAGCCTTCAACATGCTCTGCTCTGGCAGCAGCAGTGGCTTCTTGGTGGTATCTCAGCCATGACATACATTTGACATGCCCTCCCTTAACCCGCTGGTAGACAGCTTCTCTTGGCCTGCAGCATGGACCAAAGGGAAATTCTGCACAAGTTCCTGGATGAGGCCCAAAACAAGAAATCTAGCAAAGAGGAGTTTGCTGATGAATTTCTGGTGAGTCCTATGTGTGACACTCTCAAGGTAGTTACACAGACTGCTTAATTGATGAGGATGGTCCAAATGTCCTAGACCAAATTGCTCTTGGGATAAAAAGTGAATGTCAGGCCTTGCAGGGGAAGAAGGGAGAGAGGCAAAACCAGAAGCTCAACTTTTCTCAGTGGCTTGTGTGTTTTTCTCTTGAAAAAACTATTTCAAATGTTGGTTTCTAGTTCTCAGGAGTTTGGCCAGGATTTCTATGGAAGGCTTACACAATTCCAGGTGTATAAGTCCTCATATTAATTGACCATCTGGAGTTCCTAGGTACCTGAGTTGAGTTGTGGTTGATGCTTCAAATGACTACTTTTATTTTATTTTATTTTTAAAGATTTTATTTATTTATTCATGAGAGACAGAGAGAGAGAGAGAGAGGCAGAGACACAGGCAGAGGGAGAAGCAGGCTCCATGCAGGGAGCCTAATGCGGGACTCAGTCCCGGGTCTCCAGGATCACGCCCTGGCCTGAAGGCAGGCACTAAACTGCTAAGCCACCCAGGCTGCTCTCAAATGACTACTTTTAATTAATATTAAGAGGAAATAAACCAAGATTAACTTTTCATGGAACATGATGTTTTAGCCTCCCCATGGAATCCCATTTGGATGACAAAGGTTCTTGAGGAGCTCTGAAACTACCTCCTGTCATATTTCTTTATTTCTTCTTTTATTTTTCTTCTGAGAAGAAAAATGAGCACATGTGTTTTTGTACTAACAGGGTTTCCTTAAGCTTCTTTTGCTTGGAGGGGTGGAATAACAGGGATGGGGGAGTAGACACAAGTGAGGGGTATGGAGACAAATATAAGTGCCAGGTAGCCTAGGGCCAACTAGATCTGACCATCCAGGAAAACACTGCTTCTCTTCTGAGGAGACTGTGGTGACTGATGTGTCAGCAGCTGGGTAGGCCTCATTTGTCCTATAACCTAGCATATCAGAGGACATAGGCTATCTGATAGTACCTACTATGTATTTTGGAATACCTTCAGCTGGTGTTTCAGGGCTATAAGAACTCGAAGCCTTGGGTCTTCAGCTGTGAAGAAGTAGGAAAAACAAGAGAGTTGAAGCAGAAAATCTGAAATCAAATCATGATTCTTTCTTTGACATGTTCTTTAATTTCCCCATGTCTTTGTTTTCTAACTTCCAAAATGAGGATGATAATCCATGTCCTACCTGTCTTCACAGGTTGTTGTGATGATTAAATATCAATAATAATTAAAAGTGTTCATTCATTCAGTAATATTCATTGAGCATCTACTGTATACCAAGTTTGGTTCTAGGCACTGAGGATACAGCCATGAACAAGCCAAACTTCTGTGCTCATGGACCTAATATTCTGGCACCCGATAGTAGATGTGAAAACACTCAGTAAAGTCTTGAGTGATTAGATATTATGACTGTGATTATATGTTGTGAGAGAAGCCCCTATGTCAAATAAACTTGGGTAATATTGGGGCATCGTGAAAAATGTACTCTCATTGCCACTGGCCAGGCAGTGAGTCCCTCTGAGTAGAACTACCAGGGAGGGAAGCAAGGGGGATGTCCTGGCCTACGTGTCTGTTTAGATATGTGCCTCCCCCTGGGCTATACTCCAGAGCCAAATTCACCCAACACATAGAGGTAAAAAGTGACCTAGGAGGTAGGGCCAGCCTCTGTCTTATTCCAGTTGTGTTTTTAAAAATAATATAGACTACATCTCCAATATTGTACCTTTTCTTCCCTCAGTCATTATAAACTCCCACCAAATTATGGAAGTCACCTAACCTCCTGTTTTCTCTGCCTCTAGACTTGTCCCACCTTCAGTCAATTTTCCATTCAGTACCCAACTGATCTAATAACCACAGACCTGGTCATTTCCCCCTGCTTAAAAACATTGTATAGTTCTTTTTTTCAGCTGTTTAAAACTGTGAAATATAATACATAGTTATAAAGGTTACATACAACATGTGTAAGTATAATTATAAAGCCACCACCATCAAGGTCATGGACCAGAACATTTTTGGACTTAGGAAGACCCCTGTATATCACTTCTCTGGCGACCTTGCACCCCACTCCCATCCCCCACCCCCACCATGTCCTGATCTGCTCTGCCCAAGGAATAATCACTATCCTGACTTTTGTATTAATCACTTCCTTGCTTTCCTAGCTCTTGGTTTCAAGGACCTTGTTTTTGGATGGTGATTAAGTGGAACCTCACTGTTCATTGACTCACGTCCTCCAGTGGAAAAACAGAGTCTTGCCCTTAGTCCCACCTAACGGTTCAGCTGAGATATCGGAGACATTCATTTTGGGGGAGTTGGGTAGTGGTGAACAGGGCTAGATTGCTTGCCGGGACAAGATCAATACTACTGTTAACTTGAAGGGCTTTCCATCTGGTCCTGTTCCCTACCCCTCCTTAAGCCCTTTCATCTATTCTCCCAGGATTTGATGTTTTTGAGGTTGGAGGACTGATTCTGTGACACAAGGCCACTGTTAGCCTAAATGGTAGAGACTTTGTGGGAATTCTAGAAAATCACCTCTGGTTCCAGGTAGACCATCTGTGTACCCTGCCCCTACCAGGTCAGTGGCTTGGATTTCCGTCTCCAACCTCCCTCTTGGCTGTGTATCTGTGTGCAGAGCACATGGCCCTGCTATGATAGCTGAAGCCAATACCATGTGGCATAGGATATTTCCCATGCCAATGCTAAATTTGATCACGTTCCTATAGTGTGAACTGCCATGAAACTAGTGGAAGGGGGCACCTGGGTGGCTTGGTCGGTTAAGCATCTGGCTTTGGCTCAGGTCCTGGGATGGAGCCTTCATTGGGCTCCCTGCTCAGTGGGGAGCCTGCTTCTCCCTCTACCACTCCCCTTGCTGTGCTCTCTACTTTCTCTCTCTGTCAAATAAATGAATAAAATCTTAAAAACAAGAAAGAAAGAAACTAGTGGAAATTTAGTTTAGTGGAAACTGCCATGACTATAAGCTATTCATGCATTTACTCATGTGTTTACTGAGTGCTTACTATGTGCAAAGCATCATGCTAGATAATGCAATATGCAATGCAATGTCAAAGACATTAGGAGATGTTATAGGGAGGTAGACACTAAATAGCTAATTACCCTAGTAAATATTGAATTGTGATAGTCTTGGTGATGTGCCAAGGAAGCATCATAGTCATTATCTTATTTATTACTCATTAAAAAAAACCTCTATCAGGTAGTTACGATCTCTGACTCTGGGGATGGAGCCCCAGCATATAGTCCAAAAGAAGGGGAAAGCCACATGGCCAAGTCCATGTTATCAACAATCATGAAAAGTTAGAAATAATCTAAATGTCCAAGAAAAGAAAAAAATCAAATTACTACCACACATTCGGTAGTAATTTACAGATGAGAAAACTGAGGCTCTGAGAGGTTAAATAATTGGCCTAAGCTCACGCCACTGTTCAGCCCTTGAAGTTTAAACTGAATCCATCATTTCAAAGCCTGTGAAATTAATCCTATGCAATAGTTTCTTGCTTCAGCCTATAACACTGAGTCCCTCAAAGGGTCCAGCCTGAGAGTAAGTCTCCAGTTAGTATAGCCTCTCTCTTTTTCTTTCTTTCTTTCTTTCTTTCTTTCTTTCTTTCTTTCTTTCTTTCTTCTTTTCTTCTTTCTTCTTGTTTTTCTTTCTTTCTTTCTAGAGAGCGATTGAGTAGGGGTAGAAGCAGAGAGAGAGAAACTCAAGCAGACTCCCCTGTCAGCACAGAGCCTGATGTGGGGTTCAATTTCATGACCCTGCAATCATGACCTGAGCCAAAATCAAGAGTCTGACTGAGCCATCCAGGCGCCCCATATTGTCATTATTCTTATAAAACAATATTATTGCAAGTTAAAAGAAAATAAATTCACCTTAGTACCAATATCCCAACAAATGCAGTCTTTTTGGAGGGGAAATTCTAGTTCTTGTCCATTTATATGCTGCCTTTTACACTGTTGCAGTGATAGCATAGATACAATTTGGTATTCCCATATTTTCACTTAACATTATACCAAAATTATCATGTTAATTAAAATCTCTATTTATGGCTTTTGATGCAGCATAGTATAATGAAAGAGTAATATTCATAATAATTGCTAATACTTCCTTATTTCTCATAGAAACTGTTTTAAACACTTTCATGTATCAACTCAGTTAATCCATTGAGGAAGGTACTATTATTATGTTCATTTTATAGATGAGGAAACAGAGAGGTTAACTGACTTGCACAGGGTCAGAGAGCTAGTAAGTGGTGGAACAGAGACTCAAGTTCAAGTAGTCTTGCTTCACCATTTATATTTATAACAACTCTGGCATTATATAAACCTGAGTTTGCATTTAGGTTCTGCCTATCATTAGCTCTGTCACCTTGAACAAAGTCATTTAAAAGTGGGAATGAATAAACATTCACATTACAGAATTGCTGTATAGGAAATGGAATAAATATACACAATGCCCGATGTGTGGTAGTAATTTGATTTTTTCTTTTCTTGGACAGTTAGATTATTTCTAACTTTTCACAATTATTAATAACAAGCAATAAATGCACTTGGCCATGTGGCTTTCCCCTTCTTTTGGACTATATGCTGGGGCTCCGGCCTCAAAAGTGTCCTTACTGGGTCAAAGAGTCTTAGCATCTGATTGGCTAAGTATTGCCAAATGCGTTGTTTTTTGTTTGTTTGTTTGTTTGTTTGTTTGTTTTTTTACAAGTAGACTCTTTTATTTGAGATTCAGAGGTTTACGCCTTTCTATGGTAGGAAGTTCCGTGGAGAAAACTCTATTGAACTCGGAAACACATGCCGTCTGGTCCTGCGGCTGTGCACTCTTTTCTCACACAGCTTCTGACAAGCTTCTAACATAAGGGAGTTAGAGGCTAATTCCACATGCAGTGTGGAGCCACGAGGGAGAGCTTGGGTGCTCAACGTTCAGAAGTGTGGCTTGAAGCCAGCTTTCAACTAGCCTCTCTCTTAGG